AAAAATAGCCGGGCATTGTGGCAGGCGCCTGTCGTCCCAGCTACTTGGGAGGCTAAGGCAAGAGAATTGCTTAAGCCCAAGAGTTTGAGGTTGCTTTGAGCTGTGACAACACAGCTCTCTATCCAGGGTGACATAGTGAGACTGTCTCAAAAAAAAAAAAAACACCTATAGGGCGATGCCCATAGCTCAGTGGCTAGGGCACCTGCCACATACACCAAGGCGGGTGGGTTTGAACCTGGCCCAGGCTAGCTAAAACAACAACTGCAACAACAACAAAAAATAGCCAGGCGTGGGCGCCTATGGTCCCAGCTACTTGGGGGGCTGACGCAAGGGAAGAGTTAAGCCCAAGAGTTTGAGGTTGCTATGAGCTGTGACGCCATGGCATCATATCTAGGGCAACAAAGTGAGATTCTGTCTCAAAAAAAAAAAAAGTCATAACTGGGCATGGTGGTATGCGCCTGTAGTCTCAGCTACTTGGGAGGCTGAGGCAGGAGGATCACTTGTGCCCAGCAGTTCGAGGCTACCCTAGGCTACATAGCAAGACCCCCATCTCTTAGAAAAAGCAAAAGTGGTAAAGAGGCTTCTCTGGCTATGTGCCCCTCCCCTCCAGCATCCACAATCTATGGTGGTGCCAGGAGAAGGGTATTAACATCTGTACTTCAGGCTCAGTGCCTGTAGCTCTGTGGCTACCAGAAATGGTGGGTTCAAATCCAGCCCAGGCCAACAACCAAAAAAATAGCCGAGCATTGTGGCAGGCCCCTGTAGTCTCAGCTACTTGGGAGGCCGAGGCAAGAGAATAGTTTAAGCCCAAGAGTTTGAGGTTGCCATGAGCCGTGACACCAGGGCACTCTACCCGGGGCGACATAGTAAGATTGTGCTAAAAAAAAAAAGAAAAACAGAGTGGCGCCTGTGGCTCAGTGAGTAGGGCACAAGCCCCAAATACGGAGGGTGGTGGGTTCGAACCCAGCCCCTGCCAACCTGCAACAACAACAAAAAAATAGCCAGGCGTTGTGGAGGGCACCTGTAGTCAAAGCTACTTGGGAGGCTGACGCAAGAGAATCACCTAAGCCCAGGAGTTGGAGGTTGCTGTGAGCTGTGACGCCATAGCATTCTACCAAGGGCAACAAAATGAGACTGTCTCTAAAAAAAAAAATCTACTTCAAAGATGAAGAAACTGAGGCTTGGAGATTAAATAACTTGCTCAAAATGAAAGTGAATAGCAGAGGTTGGTTTTGAATTCTCCCCTGACAGATTCCCAGGCCCCAGGCTCTTAGCCACATCACCCTCCCAAAGGAGCATGCTATGGGCAGTGCTGGTGCAAGGGGGAAGATATTTTAAAGCTGCTTCTTGAGTTGGTGCCAACACATGAGAAGCATCATTTGCTCCCTTAGAAGCCATGGTGAAAGCTAGCATTCAATCCTTTTCTCCACACACTTACAGTCCTGAGTCAGACCTGTGCAAACAGCTAGGGGTCTAAATTTGGGCCCGTCAACCTGAGAGCTTGTGGCATTTAAGAAGCCACCTGAAGGACTCATGGGTAAAATTGAGCACATGTGAGCAATTCACACAGGAGAGCTCAGGCTTCAAGTCAATCAAGAATTTAGAATTGGGGAGCAGGTTGCAAGGGCTTTGCATATCTCGCTAAAAGAGTTTGAACTTTTGTCTTCAAGGAATGGATATTCACAAGAAAATTTTAAGCAGGTATGAACCATGTTTGCATTTTAGACAGCCCATTGTAGCTTTAGGGTAGAGACCAAACCTGTGGCAAAACTGGGGACAGAGAAAGTGAGAGAAGGCAGCTGGCAGTATGCAGGGGAGGGATCAAAGGCAGGACTGCTCAGGGCAGTGAGAAGCCACAGAAAAGTGCCCTGTGGGACCTAGGGCCTGCACATGGAGGGTCAGAAGGGGGTGTGTGGTGAGGAGGAGCCCCAAGATCCTAGCTTGGGCAGTGGAGTAGCATCACTCATAGATGAGTACACAGTGCCTATGAGACAGACTCTCCTAAGGCACTCCTTTGTGACAGCATTTCACTCTGCCTGTGACTTACCTGTATTCTTGTCACTTCCATTAATTCAAGGTGTGGCAGGCAGCCTAATTATTCTCTTACATGAACTTTGTCCAAGAAAGTAGACATTGTAGAGGGCTATGTACAGGAAAGAATGTTATGTGTCTGCTGGTCTTTTTCCCTTCAAAATTGTAAACAACTCAAGGTCATAACCCAAATGCAATTTCTTGTACAGAAAGAAATTCTGAGGCTGGGACAGCCTGAGCCTGCCAAACAATGATGGCTGCAACCAAAAAATAGCCAGGCATTGTGGTAGGCGCCTATAGTTCCAGCTACTTGGGAGGTAGAGGCAGGAGAATTGCTTGAGCCTAGGAATTGGAAGTTGCTGTGAGCTGTGATGCCATAGCACTCTACCCAAGGTGACAGCTTGAGGCTCTGTCTCAAAAAAAAAAAAAAATTTTTTTTTAAGTATCTTTCTAAGTGAAACCAATAAGCCTTAATGCATGTTATAACTTAAACAAGGAAGAAAGAAGGGTCTCCAAAGAGGTAAAAAAATAATAAAAAAAGAAGAAGAAGGGAGGGAGGAAAGAAGGAAGGAATGAGAAAGAAAGAAAATAAGAAAGGAAAGAAAAAAATGCTGGTGGAAAGGAATAATGATGAAAAATATATGAACTCAGGTGCAATGGCTCACACCTGTAATCTTAGTACTTTAGGAAGCCAAGGTGAGCAGGTTGCTTGAGCTTAGGAGTTGGAGACCAGCCTGAGCAAGAATGATACCCCATCTCTAGTTAAAAGAAAAAAAATAGAAAAATGAGCTAGGTATTTTGGAAGGTGCCTGAAGTCCCAGCTACTTGGAGGCTGAGGCAAGAGGACCTCTTAAGCCCAAGAGTTTGAGGTTGCTGTGAGCTAGGACACCATAGCACTCTACCCAGGGTGATAGAGTAGGAATGTTGTCTCAAAAAAAAAAAAAGGCAGCACTTATAGCTCAGTGGGCAGGGCGCCAGCCACATACACCAAAGCTAGTGGATTTGAACCCAGCCTGGACCAGCTAAAACAATGACAATTGCAACAAAAAAACAGCCAGGCATTCTGCAGGCGCCTGTAGTCCCAGCTACTTAGGAGGCTGAGGCAAAGGAATCACTTAAGCCCAAGAGTTTGAGGTTGCTGTGAGCTGTGACACCACGGCACTCTACCTAGGGTGACAGCTTGAGACTCTGTCTCAAAAAATATATAGATAGCCTCAGCGCCTATGGCTCAACTGGCTAAGGTGCCAGCCACATACACCTAAGGTGGCAGGTTCGAATCCAGCCCGGGCCCACCAAAACAATGATGGCTGTAACCAAAAAGCAGCCGGGCGTTGTGGTGGGCACCTGTGGTCCCAACTACTTGGGAGGCAGAGGCAGGAGACTCACTTGAGCCCAGGAGTTGGAGGTTGCTGTGAGCTGTGATGCAACGGGACTCTACCAGGGGGGATAGCTTTAGGCTCTGTCTCAAAAAAAAAAAATATATATATATATATAGATAGATAGATAGATAGATATGGATATAGATATAGGGATATACTTCTGTGTCTGTATATTGGTGCTGGACACACTGGCACAAGTCTGTACTCCCAGCTCCTCAGGAGGCTGAGGTGGTATGACCATTTGAGTCTATGAGTTCAAGGCAACATAGTGAAACCCTGTTTGTTTGTTTGTTTTTTCTTTTGAGACAGAGTCTCAAGCTGTTACCCTGGGTAGAGTGCTGTAGCATCACAGCTCACAGCAACCTCAAACTCTTGGACTTTAGCAAGTCTCTTGCCTCAGCCTCCCAAGTAGCTGGGACTACAGGCACCCGATACAACACCCAGCTATTTCTTTTTTGCAGTTGTCATTGTTGTTTAGCTGGCCCAGCCCAGGTTCGAAACCACCAGCGTCGGTGCATATGGCCGGCGCCATAACCACTGTGCTATGGGCCCTGAGCTGCAAGTCCTACTCTTAACAGGTCCTAGGACAGCAAGGAAACAAGAATGGAGAAACACTAGGTGAGGGAGGCAGGGGTAAGAACATAGGCACACAGGAGAGGATTCCAAAACAAAAGAACAACATAAAACTGCCAAGGGGGCTATTTACCATGTAAATACATGCAATCCAGTTCTGTAGACAAGTCCTGGAGCTGTACACTCAGCAGGAGCTTCACAATAAGGAACAACTCTTTACAGGCCTGTTCATCTCTCTAAGCACTGTGCAGTAGGTGTGGGCTGCTGGGTGAATTAAAAGTGATTAGAAGATTTGTCTGTTTGGTTGTTTATGAAAACCAATTCGTGGTGTGGCCACTTTCTACTAGATGGAGAGAACTCTCATCGCATTTCCATGAGAGTGTGAGGGCGAAGCTTCTGCTGGTGCCAGAGCAGTTGACCTGGTTGCCAGCCCTGGCCTGGGATGTTACTCCACAAGGCTTGGGAGGCAACTAGGCCAAGGGGAAAAAATGACAAGGTGGAAGGCAGAAGAGATAGTGGGTGCAAAGGCCCTGCGGCCTGGAGAACAAAATATGCTGGGAGTTTTTTGCTCCAGAGCAGGATGGCCAGGGCTGGGTCAGAAGAGAGACCTGATAACCAGGGATACCAAGTCTAACCTTGTTTGCACTGGATCCCCAAGAGCAATGCAGAGCTCTGGCAGAAACAATTGCATCTGTGTCTTAACCAGGTCACTTAACCTGTTGTGTGGATCACACTGAACTGGGGATGTCACTAGCTAACACATACATACAACTGTTACTGCTTTCCACATCTTAATTTATATTTCATCCTAAAAATCCTAAGACATAAACACTGTTATCGTCTGCTTTTTTTTCCTGATGAGGAAACTACAAGGGCGATAAGGTCACAATCTGGATTTTAAACCCCAGCAGTCTGACTCCAGAATCCGGGCCACCTCCCACTGGGGAGCGCTGGGAGCCGCCTGCGGGCTTGGGTGCCCTCGGAGACAGCCGCCCCAGCCGGCCCGATAGCGCCTAGCCTGAGCGGCCCCCTGCCGGCCCGGACTGTTAGCGTCACCGCCCAGCCGTCCGCTGGCACTTCCGGAGCCGGGCGCCCGCAGCCGCCTCCGCGCGGCCTCCATCGATGAGGGCTCCAGGGCCTGACTGCGCAGGCGCGGAGCGGGGCGCGCTCAGGCGCTACTCTAGCCACCTCTGTCTGGGTCTTAGCGCGACCTCGGCGTCGATGGCAGCCTAAAGGAAGATGGCGGCCTCCTGCTGGAGGGTCACATTGTGCGGATACCGGCTATGGCGGGGCTTCAGCACCTCGGGTGAGGGGTCTGGGGGTGGGTGTCCTATATCCCGAACCCTGGGGCTCGGGCCACCGCCTGCTCCTGCTCCCATCTCCTGCGGGCCACATACGGCCTGACGTCTACTCCCTCCCCGCAGCCTCGCTGAGCCGCCGGACCGCCCCTCTGGGGCCAATGCCCAACGAGGACATCGATGTGAGCAACTTGGAGCGGCTGGTGAAGTACCGGAGCTTCGACCGCTACCGGCGCCGGGCGGAGCAGGAGGCGCGGGCCCCGCACTGGTGGCGGACCTACCGGCAGCATTTTGGGAAGGAGACAGGTGCGGGGAGTCCGGACAGAGGCTGCGGCCTTCAGCTTTGGAGCTCGGGGGTCCCACCAGGGTTTTCCCCGGGCACTAAGCAGGCCTTGTCAGCGCCCCTGGGCACGCTGGTGGAGGGGGCACGCGCACCTTCGTGTGCCCCTCGACCATTTAATCATGTCAGGATTTTACACACTTTGCTTCCTCCACATGGTTGGAAAATTCTTTGCCCTCACCATTAGAGTTTCAGCTCCTAAAGTACATACTCCTAAAAATCCTTCCTGACCCCTCTACTGTGCTCTTAAAATACTCTGGCCACACTGTATCCTGATTTTCTTTTCATTGCCCACCCCCACCTCCTATTGTAAGCGGCCTGCAGATATGGATCCTGCCTGTCTTGGCTCCTTTCTTTATTTTGTTTTTTTTCAGAGACAGAGTTGTAGAGTGCCGTGGCGTTACACAGCTCACAGCAACCTCCAATTCCTGGGCTTAGGCGATTCTCTTGCTTCAGCCTCCCAAGTAGCTGGGACTACAGGCGACCGCCACAACGCCCAGCTATTTTTTTGTTGCAGTTTGGCTAAGGCTAGGTTTGAACCCACCACCCTCGGTATATGAGGCCAGCGCCCTACCGGCTGAGCCACAGGTGCCTGCCTGTCTTGGCTCCTTTCACCCTCTGTGCCTGGTACATAAGTGTACGATGTTTGGGGGAATGGAGTTAAATTCCTGGGCAAGGTGACTCAAGGACCCACCTTTTAAGGATTTTGTACTTACTGAGTACATTTTTTTTTTTTTTGAGATAATTTCTCACTTTATTATCCTCTGTAGAGTGCTGTAGTGTCATAGCTCACAGCAGTGCCAAATTCTTGAGCTCAAGTGATAATCTTGTCTCAGCCTCCCAAGTAGCTGGGACTACAGGTGCCAGCCACACCCCGGGCTATTTTTAGAGGCAGAGTCTTGCTGTGGCTCAGGCTGGTCTTGAACCTATGAGCTCAGGCAATCCACCTGCCTGGGCCTCCCAAAGTGCTAGGATTATAGGCGTGAGGCACCGCTCCCAGCCCCTGAGTACATCTTTTTGGAAAGCATTTATAGGGGCAGTTTTTACGGTGGTTAAGGGCACAAACATAGAATCTGAATAGCCTGATTTTTTTTTTTTTTTTTGAGACAGAGCCTCAAGCTGTCCCCCTGGGCAGAGTGCCGTGGCATTACAGCTCACAGCAACCTCCAACTCCTGGGC